ACACACACACACACACACACACACACACACACACACATACACACAAAGCCATTGTGTGAATTAAGACATTCTGATAGGCAACTTCAGCTTATGAAGATACCAGGGAGCACTGAGTACCACTCAGTCTACAGCTGAGTATCGTATTTTAAAAACATGTTTAACAGTTCAGCAGGATGCTAGGTCCACTCAGTCTACATCTAGACACTACCGCAGGATGCTAAGGGTTGCAAAAACATGTTTGCTTAATTCTGAGTGAGCTGAACTTTAAAGGGAGGAATTTGCATAAATCATGAATGTATAGGAAAGGAGTCTGAATTAAGTCAAATCCTTTCAGAGCGCCTAGCCAAGTAGGTCCCAGAACTCTACCTTGGGGGTGAGGCAGTCTTCCTTTGCCTTTTTGTGGATTCTCCCTGTGATTTCTCTGCCATTCTGACTTCCCTTCCTGGCTCACGACACTTGCTTCACCCAGGGTTTTGATTTCCCTTTGCAGGCCTCTACTCTGTTTATTGACCTTAAATGTTAGGTTGTTCCATTCTAATATTTTGCTTTTACGGTTTGACCTGACCTGACCTCAGTTCACATTTTCCAGGCTTTAGTAGACCAAAGCTTCTTTCTGTGAGAGTGTCTCCATGCTAGTGGTGCTGAGCCTGCCTGTCTCTCCAGATCAACTGGAGATTTGAAGTCATATAATGGATACCTTTGGTTACCACCCAGACTTGTCAAACTGAAACCCTGGGAACAAAGGAAGCTGTGTTGCTTTGGAGTGGCATTCAGGAATGTGGAGCGGGGAAAGGGTGGCTGGGTTTAAGAGTAAGATTTTCATAATTACTACCACTTGATTAACTGATAGTTTCAACTAAATTAATCACACCGTTCAACATAATGTACACATAATTTAAATACCTCTTAGGAAAAAAATCCATTATATTGACCTGCCTAATTTATTCATGACTATTTTTTATCTTTTCTTCTCTATGGCTTACCAAAGTAATGACTTTCCATGCAACAGAAAAATCTTTTGTTTGTTCCTAAAATCCAGGAATAAGACAGACTGCCTCTCAGATTGCTTTTCTAAAGGATTGTCAATTTCCTTTAATTTTTTCTTTCTATTTCCTTTGGAAATTAATAAACCTTTAATACTAATATCCTGAGTCTATCATTTTCTGGTGACTAATAATAAAAAAAATTGGTGAAAGGTGCACCTCATTTTAACAGAAACAAGATGGTTTTTAATGAGTTCACTTCATAAATTAGTTTATGGCAGGGCAAAATTTGATTTTTGAGTTGTTTATCATATTTTAAAAATATGTTTAACAGTTTGGTTCATAAAAAAAAATTTTCTACAAGGGGTGATATATGCCCGCTGCTACAGCACTCTTACCGACCCATTATTAAAATTCAGTCGGATGATCCTGGGGTGGAACTGTGCCTGAGCAAGCTCATCTCCAACTGCCTCGTGTGGCGTCTTCATTTGGACTCACTGGCTTACGTGGTGAGCAATGCCTTATGAGCAATGCCTGAATCCACGTTACTTTCTTACTATAGTTTCTTTGGGATGTGTTTTATTCGATCACCATTCTGGGAGCCACAACTGTGGAGCTGAGGTGTTAGTTTGCCTTGGTGAGGACCAGAGGTGCCATCTATAAGTTACTCCTCAAATACATTCCTCAAAGTGAGAGAGGCTGACTAAATCCATTTACATGATGTTCTGGGAAAAACATAACTCTGAGAGCAGAGAGCAGGTCAGTGGCTGACAGGGTTAAGCACAATGGGAGTGCTTGATGGCACAGGAGCCAAGGGAAACACAATGGAATCCACGTATTGACAACCCTCATAAAACTGTTCACAAAAGGTAAGTCTTACTGTATGCACATTAAAAAGAAGTTAAATGTAGGGGCTCAGGGCTGAGTGTAAGCACGTACTGCTCTTGCAGAAGACCCAAGTTTACTTCCCAACACAAGTAGGCAACCAGGTTCGGGGATCCAATGCCCTCTTCTGGCCTCTGTATGTACTGCACTCATAAACACCAACACACACACACACACACACACATACACACACACACACACACACACACACAAACAGTATCTTAAATTTTTTTAACTTATTTTTAATTTTTATTTTTTATTTTTTATTTTTATTTTATGTGTATGAGTGTATTGCCTGCATGTATGTAAATGCACCTGTGTCATGCAATGTCCTTGGAGGTCCCTGGAGCTGGAGTTATGAACAGTTGTTAGCCGCTATGTGGGTGCTGGGAACAGAATCCGGGTCTTCTGCAAGAGTCATTAGTGCTTGTAACCACTGAGCCATCTCTCCAGCCCAAAACAAGATCTTTTAATATGTTAATTAATTAAATGCAGTTATAGGACGATCATGATGCCTTGATAGTCTATCTGTGATAGTATTCTAACTGCTTTTTATAGCCTGTGAGATTTTCAACCAACAGCGTAACATTTTGAGGTTATTTGTCCTTCTACAAAAGTGAAAAAACCATCCTCAATCATTCAAAATTCTTTCAGTTCCCAGTGACAGTGACAGTCAACTCAAATAATCTCAAGAACAAAAGGAGTTTTCTGGCTTACACGATGAAGGGGCTATTCATGAATTCCCTTCAGTGATGCTGTTGGGGGGTGGGGTCTCTTCCCCAGAGGATTGTGGGTCTCTGGCACATTGTTTCCTAGTGGCAAGAATCAGCAGCTCTATGCCTACATCCTCCTTGCTTGTGGTCTAAGAGTAATAGAGCTCTAGCTCCATTATTTAGCACAACTAGAAAACCTCAGTAGCATGTAACAACAAACATGAACTTCTCACATGTCTGAGTAGCAGTGAACAGGTGTGTTTTTGCCAGTGGAGCTGGGCTTCCTCATGTTTAATGGGTCACCGTCAGCTGTCAGCAGCTGCCCTCAGATGGAGCCTTTATCAGCTTGGCTCTGCTCTTCTGCTCTCCAGTCCTCTACCAAGGGAAGCCCTGGAAGAGAGAGAGAGAGTTGCAAGAAACCAGCGCAAACATGCATGGACTCTGTCGAGCCTGTGCCTGCCATAGAGTCCGTGCAATTTATTATTCTTATGCATGGGCAAAGGGAAGCACTGTACAAAATCGTGGAGGTTGAAGAGATGGCTCAGCAGTTACGAGGGTTTACCGCTCTTTTGGAGGACCTGAGTTTGGTTCCCAGAACCCACATTGGGCAGCTAGCCCACAACTTCTATGGTTCTGGGAAAATCTATCTTCCCCATTTTGAACCATTTAGGCAGCCCTGAGCAGATGCCCACAGTCTGAGGCCCTGAGGCCTCTGGCTAGCAGTGTTGTTCTGCAGGAGTTCGGCAGGCATCTATCCCCAAATGTCATTCATCCCTTCAGATGACCACACGCTGACTCCAAGCCTGACTAGAATTTAAGGAAAGACTTTGGGCAAAAGCTGCCAAACCAAAGTGGTCCTAGATTCACACCCCTTAACAACCGTGACAGATAACAAATGTGTTGTTTTTAGCCATTATGCTTGTAAGTAATTTGCATATAATAATGGGCAACTACATGATTCACATACAATTGGAGACTTGTAAATTTTTTTATGGAAGGAATTTTAAGGAGATTCATGCTGTGGTCCCTGGAAAAGGGGATTAAAGGGAAAGGGAGGTAAATTTCCATTTACCTGGAAGTAAGCTGTTTCTCTTTCTCTGTTACACCACAGTGCCCTGAAAGAGGATGCTAGTGCAGTTGATGGGGGACCCAGTGCCCAAGGCAGGAGTGTACAATGGAAGGGAGGGGTAGTATATATTAATATTAGTAAGTGTCAGGTACTGTTTTAACTCATTGAGAAGCTGGCTCTGGAGGTGGGGTTAAGCCACACCCACCACTTCAGATCCAAGCATGTTTGTCTAATCTTGTCCTACAAAACATCATTTTCAGGGATGGATTAGCCCTCTGGCCCTGTGAGAAAGGGGGGGAAAAAGCAAAACAGCTCAAGTGTCAAAATATCATGTCCTTAAATACAAGAGAGAAAATTGTTAGAGTAAAAATAGTTTGTCCTTGCACACAGCTGGGAGATGGGTCATTTCTGAGCAGCTTCCCAAAGCAAAAGACTTCAGCCCTGCTGATCTCATGATATTAAAATGCCCATTGTGGGAACAGCTGACTAAGTCTCACCCAGGATAAGACATTCTATCTGGGCACTTCTGTATCGGCTCCAGGAGGCTGTTTGAGCTCCCAGGCCTCCCCCGAGTTGTTTCTGCTGGTCAGTGTGAGTGTCTGAGTGGATGCTCTACTGCATTCCTTCCACTTGCTGTTTTATTCTTTTATTTGTACTTGCTGTATACTTAATAAACTCACCTACTCAAAACGGAAGGCTCTGTTCTGTTGGATCATTTTCCCGAAGGAACATAACTAGCGTAGCTGGAAGTTCTGAGATAGAGAAGTCTTCTCTGCTCCCAATGAGCAAATGTTCCAAGGTGCTGGGGAAATTCCTGGCTTGGAAGACCAATCCTTTTATATGTTGGCTCAGAAATGAGGGACAAGGTGATCTGGTCTTTCTGGGTGATCCAGCCGATTGAAAGCTTTTGGGCCACACCATATGGCTCAGTGTTTGCAGTGCTGGGAGAAATGATGTGGCTCTTTTGGGCCTTGTCCAAGCTGGTATTTTCTGGCCACCTACTGGAAAGCTATTGAGCGTGGATATCAGGTAAGACAGAAAGGGTGGACTTGCAGAATCATCTAGTAAGGTTGCACTGACAGATAGCCATTTTTGGTGACCAAATGCATGCTTAGGATGATGCTGAGAAAGTTGAGCTGAAGTCCATGTACCATCATATGTGCAAGAAAAGGAAGAGGCTGTATTAGTTACTTTTCTGTTGCTGTGATGGA